TTACACACACACACACACACACAGTCGCCATTCCTTGGAGGAAGGTGTGTGTTTTATCAGTCTGAGCTTGTGACTGGCAGTCCAGGGACCCCAGGCTCCCTGATGACCACAGAACACTCCTTTCCACACGAAGCTACGAAGATAAGTGGCCTGCGTGGGAGGCATGGTTTCAGAAAGCAGAAAGCATGGTATCAGAAAGCTGTCTGATAACTCTCTGAAAACAGGGGAGTCTGTGCTGTATGATCTCAAGGCTCCTTCTTGCTCATAACTGAGTTGGTTCTTCTGGCTACAGAGTTTGAGCAAATGAATGAGGATCTTCTCACAACAAGAAGAATTAAGCTCGTGATGTTGGCAAACAATTTCAGGGAAATCCAGATTAAAAAACTACCCTAGACGGTGATTTCTAGCATTCACTTTAAAATAGCTCCTGGTGGCTTGATGCGGATTTTATTTTTTGTTTTGTTGTATTCCAAGAGATGCCGCCCTATCCGGCAATCTCTGATGGATAAGAGTTATTTGGGGACTTCAGGCATTATGGCTTCTCCAGACCCCACAAATTAAACCCTAGAAAACATAATGTAGAATTTAACCCCCTGCAGACTCTTGTAGGTCTTGAGTTTTCCTCTTTGAACATTAACATCATATTACTGATGTTAGGTCATTTGTTTTGATTTTAAAACCACTTTCCATGATTATTTCTAAAATAGGTTACAAAGAGGAGGATGTTTCCAAATTTTTCAAATGAAACTTTATTTTGTTGTTGAGGATTTAAAAAAAAAATATATATATATAAATTCAACAGTTTCTAACTAACTTAGTTACTGACATCGAGGACATTCTTTGACTTGTGTAACCTCTCACACCCTCCTTTTCTGAGTTGCTCTCTTCGTAATATATCAACTTTCTGCCCTCTAAGTTTCCCACATGATCTTTCGAGTTGCTGTTGTCATTTGTACCCCATATAAGCAGCAGAGTACAGATATTGTCACTAGTTAATTTTATCTATTATTTGGTTTTAAGAGGATGGCCGGATATTATTTTTGGCTTAAGGCTTAAAGATCATCTCTGCACAATCGTTTCAGGAGTTCATCTGTCCTCTGTGATTTCAAGAAGTCTAGCGTCCTTAGAGTTCGAAATTATGTTCTGTGCCACACCCCCCACCCCTTTCATCAGGATTATCTTATGCAATCTGTGATTAAAGTGTCTACTCATGGTAGCCGGCCACTGTCCAAGTCTTCTGTTCTCATGGCAAAGTAGAGAGTTGTGCATGGAGGCCATCGGCCACGTGCCCATATTCCTCCTCCTACTGCTGACTCTTCATGGTGTCCCCTGTGTGTCAGGTGAACAGAGACCGATTGCAGGGACCTAGATGGTTGCTCGCAAGCTTTAAGACCCCATGCACTAGACACTAAACTAGAGCTTGTAACAGACGTACTCAGCATGCTATGAGGTCAGTTACCTGGGGCGTCTCATGAACTGTGATCCCACACCTCCAAACCGAAGAACCGAGCCCACAGATGTTGGGTTGTACATACATAGCTTTAGTAGCTACTCTTCCTTCTGTCATCTCTCCCTCTCTCCTTCCCTCCCTTCCTCCCTCTCTACCTCCTTTCCTTCCTTCCTCCCTCTCTTCCTCCTTTCCTTCCTTCCTTCCCCCTTCCTCCCTTCTATCCTTCCTTCCTCCCTCTCTTCCTCCTTTCCTTCCTGCCTTCCTTCTTTCCTTCCTTCCCCCTTCCTCCCTTCCTTCCTTCTTTCCTCCCTCCCTTCCTCCTTCCCTTCTTTCCTTCTTTTTGTCATTACTGTAAATATCTACCACATTACTTTTTCAAATTCAAAATGTTATAAGTGTACAACTTATTGACAGCAACCATTATATGCAAACCTGTCCTTAAACAATCTGAACCATTTTCTCATCATTATTACCCCCTCCTTGCTCCCAGGAACCACTGACAAAATTTGGTCTCTATACGTTTGCCTTTCCTTCTGTCAGGACTTTTCTGAATTTGATAGGTTTCTTAAGCAAAGCAGACTTCAAACTTCTGAGTCAAAGCAAAGCAATATTGTGGCAATGTTGAAAAAATCATTTGGGGGCTATTTAATAAGCATTGCTTGGCGGGAACCGTCTGAATTCTTCATAGCATGCAATCATCAAGGTTGTCTCTGCTGCCTCCTCGTCAGACTGAACACTCATTGCATTTTCTGAACAATGTGTTTGCTTGCATTCGGAGCCTTTCCAGTATTTGGGACTCTAATTGCAAAATTTAAAAAATTGCTTTTAGATTCTTCTTCTTCCTGACTATTCTAATATTATTCATATATTCCCCTCATACTTTTTTCTTTCTTTTATTTCAAGAAGGACCCTTGTGTCTTGGTGCCCCCTCCTGCCCTGACCCATTTGGCACATGGGTGGGGTCTCAGAACCAAACAGTGGGTTGAGGATCACACATAGCACTTCTCTTTGGAAAAACAAAACCTGAAACAACAACAAAAACAACCTAGAGCCTTGCTTACATCAATGAATACAGACCAAATGGTAGCACTTCAACTTCTGGCTTTATTTTTCCGCTCTACCACTGTATCCACAGCATACTACCCTTTTCTTCTGCAGAGTACCAGGACATGTAAACAATATTTAGGGTGAATTTCTGAGCTCTCTTAACTTTCTTTAACCAACCTTGACAATCCCTCTCCTGAGTTGGTTGAGAGCAGCCTTTCCATAGCAGAGAACGTTAAGCAGGCACATGGAGCGAGGCATTTACAAGGAGTCTGAGAATGATGAATCGAGGCAGCATCCTGCATTGTCGTTCAGTTGGACAAAGAAAAACATTGCTTTAGGAAGTGGGTCATGTGGTTGTACAGGTGGCTTGTGGACAGGCCGGAGATGCCATGGTTCTGGTCAGAGTACCACTGCAACACAAAGGAGAGACACTCGTTTTATTCCTGCTGCTCAGCTTGGACTTTTCCCTCGCTCTCGAGACCCGATGGCCGAGTCTGGACGAACTCTGCTTAGGAAGACTCCAATCAGTGAGAGACGCCACTTGCGTGTCAATGTTTAGAGTGGAAAGGTTAAAGGACTGTGTTCTTAATTCTAATTTCAGATCTTTTAAGTTGATAGCTGAGATTTCTGTGGCTGACCTGCCACAGCTTCTTAGGGGACCAAGGGGCATGGTTTCCAGAACTGGCACATCGGGTCCCTTACTTTGTTTCTCTGGAGCTTGGGGTCCTCATTTGAAAAATGAGGGGGTTGGATTTGATTTTTCCTTCAGGCCTTCTAGTTCAAAGATCCATGAGCCTCTAATTCCTCCCCATTGCAGCAAACTCACAAAACATATAACCAGAAACACCCCTACACAGAGTTTAAAATACCAGTGTGAATAAAAGGGAATAAAGCATTCTAAATGTAAACTTACTGTGAGATGCCAGTAATATTACATTTCCCTGACTAAAGATGGCCAATGGCCACGAGTCATCTTTGCTGCCTGCTCAGTAAACCGCCTGTACTTCCTGTGCACAACAAACACTTTCAGAAAGTCTCACCTCGCCCTTAATGGCATTTTGACAAAATGAAACCTGAAACTATGGGGGCTGCTTTTTCTGGGTTCTTGTTCAATATAAGGGCAACAGCAGGAGGGTAGATGCCCAGCGAAGAGGGGGAAAGGTCGCTAAGCAAGGCTCTCTCTTTTGCTTTGGCTGCTGTCTTATTTTTCCCAGTTTTCATGTCCTAGTTCTCATGCACCTGGAGTTTACGTTTCACTCAGTAGACTTTTGAGCTTCTTCAATGAGCCAGGCCAGGCATACGGAGATGAGAAGATTCCTGAGGTCTCAGTGGACGTGCTTTGTCCAGGGATGCACTGAGGTCTCTGATGAGGTTGTGCAATGATTTCTTATGGAAGAAACTGAATCTTCTAGCTGTTTTGGGACAACCTCCCATTTCAGGTTTTGTGGGCACTATAAACATCTAGTTATACCTATGCTCACAGGCTCACAAAATTATGAGTGTTTTAGTGAGATTATCTATCTTCTATCTATCTATTTATCTATCTACTTATCTATCATCTGTCTATGTAGCTAGCCAGCTATCTGCTTGCATGTGTTATGTATTTTATATATTATAGAGCCACTGGGATTCCAAGAGGTGAACTGGCTTGCTTAGGATACCTCAGGAAGTAAGTGAAAGATGCAAGACTGAAATGATAGTGTTCTGTCTAGTCTCGCCTTCAGACTCTGTGTCAGGTTTTGCAAATAATAAATAAATAGATGAATAAAATTCCTCCTGTAGCCCTGGGTGGGGGTGGGGGGCACTTCTAAGGCCATGAGCATCAAGGAAAATGAAATTATGTACCATTGCCTGGAAATCCACTTGTGCCTTAACCAGAGCCTTAGCAATCTGCGCTGAGTTTTGAAAGTGCACATTATCTGCAACAAAGAAAAAGAGTTAAAGGGCTGCTAAATACCAGGAAGCATAGCGTGACAATGTCGTGCCTGGAAATGAGCACCAACAATTATCTAGTCATGCAGCTGACATTGTCAGCAGTGAGTAATCTCACTCATTTCTGGAAATGTCCCTGACTCGTAGGTACTGACCCCGAGCATAGGCATAGGAGGATGCTTAATGTTTCTTAAACAAAGTGATGCTGGCTCAGTATTTTTATGTGTAAGAGTCTTGCTTAAACCTCACCATCTGCTGTTCCGTGGATGAGAAGATAGTCTACATTTCTGAAATATTCTGCTCTTGCCATCACAGTTGAATTCTGGAAAAGAGGAAAAAATTAACATTTTAGTTGCTGCAAGTTCTAATAGAAAACTAGTTAAATCATTGTGCAATGGACTTAGCACCAATACTGAAATTATGTATTGCTTTGGTTGATAAATATTTAAGAGTCAGAGCAACACATTTTCATCATCATTTGCATTACTTCCATCTGATTCTTAGTTTGAAGAACTGAAAGTTTATGTGTCATATGTTACATATGAGTGAGACCTTGGGCATAAATGATGCCTGCTCAAGCTGTGTCGGGGTTTGAGGTGGGGTGGGGAGGAGCGTGGGGGAAGGGACGTGAGGGGATGGGGGATGGGGACAAGAGGAATCCAAAAGGAGAAAATTCCTTTTCTAAGTGAGGTGTTTTCCTGTTAAAAGAGCCATCTGATTGCTTAGAGACCCAGAACAAAAAAGAGAAAACTCTGAATGACGGCTTTAGCAGGATTTAGCACATTAAAAAAGAAAACACAAAAACAACAAAAAAATAAAATCCAGAGACCTAAATCAAATAGAACACGCTTACTTTGTAGTGCGCGAGATTATCATCCTTCGTTGGGAGGCCCATGAATCGCTCAGTGTAGATTGATGCTGTAAATTTATATAAGCAAAAGTTGGTTGCATGTGACAGTACCATTAACCAATAACCCCCACTGGTTTACTAACTGCTTCTCAATATGTCCATGTGCTACTATGGAAATGGGTTCCAGCCATGACGTGGTTGTAAAGCTCCACCAAAGTCAATCTGAGGGCTAGCCTCCCAGGGTGTGTCTCATCTCTGCAACTTGCAGAGAGAGAGAGAGAGAGAGCGAGAGAAGAGATTTTGGAACAGGAGCAACTGATGTTGGAAAGAGTAGCCTTAAATTGCCTCACATCTACCCAAAACCCTGTACCAGAAGGCAGGGCGAATATCAAGGTAGAAGAGCAACCTGGAGAACAAGGACCTCATCAATCGCAAATGCAGCCAATTCTGATAGATCTGTCACAGTTATCCGTTGACTCTCGATGGCCTGATGTGGGCCCCACAGAGCTGCCCCGCGGGGTTTCCAGGGCAGAGCTCCAGGCTGGGGCCCGAGAAGTCTCTGCGTGTGATGGGAGGCCCACCCGTGTGTGCCACCCAAGGCCACCCGAGGACTTTCAGGGCTGCTTCACTTCATCTGCCTGCACTCTGCTCCCTATTTTGAGAGCAACTCTACTCCCCACAAGGACCTATCAGAGTTAGGGGAGCTGGAGAAAGCCCAGACGCAAACCATCCAGGCCTAAAACACAGTTGCCATTGATCCCCAAGCCCAACTCCCCACCCCCTGCCAACCCCATGGTTTTCCCCACCAAGCCTAATGGTCCCATTTGAACCCCAGCACAAAGAAGACGTCTCGAGGAAGGCTTATTTTTGTGTGTATGGAAGCATTAGAGTCATTTCAAATAATCCCTCTTGCACTGATTTTTCTCCAAGAAATAAGGCGCCCACAGGAGGGAGATGTAATTCTTGAAGGATGTTGTCGTTCCTTGGGACAGCCCAGCACGGTGCTGTGGAGGTGAATTGCTTGGCTCCAGGCCTGAATTTGAATGTGTTTAAAAGCCAGTGTGACTGTGACCAGGTGCCTGCAAACACACAGAATTAGCTCTGATGTCAAAGATTTGGCTCGGCAGGGGGCACGAGGTTTCTGGGAGAGAATAAAACTTACTGGATTATGGCAGAATCCCTCCGGAGTCTTAAAAAATGTCTTAAATTGCTATAATGTAATTATAATAAATCATACAAACAACCTCGCTGATAGATTATATTTTCCCAGTGATGCCGGGGTGAATTTTACTGCATAATTTGTTTTCCTAGCAACCTCAAATATAGAGTAATTATGTGTTAAATATTTTCACGGCAACATTTATGAAATGTTTCCATACCGTAATATTCCCAGCTGGAGACCGGAGCCACTGCAATTCCGCATTTGAAAAGACCAGTGCCAGATGCCAGGGCCAGAGATGCCACATAGCCTCCATAGGACTGTAGAGATGAGAAAATATTTGAATCAGCCCCCAGTTTACCTGCCCAACCTCTCCTCCATATTTTTATAGCAACTCTTTTTCCTAGTAAGGGCATATGGCAGTTAGGAGGTGTGGATACAGCACAGACACACAAAAAGAACCCAAACCCAAAACAGCTCGGATCTGATTTCTGTCAGAGTTGAACTGTGCTCCATCGGTAATCATCAAGTTTGAACCTTCAACCTTTTGTTAGCAACTTGCTCTACCCATGTCTCCAAACCAGTTGCCCTATGGGTAAAGCCTGACTTATAAGACACTGAAAACCAACTCACTGCCACTGAGTCGGTTCTGACTCACAGTGCCCCTGTACCACAGGGGAGAGCTGCCCTTGTGGGTTTCCAAGGGCACTTGTGACTCTTTACAGAAGGAGAAAGCCTCATCTTTCTCCTACTGAGCAGCTGGTGGGTTTGAACTGCCGACTGCAGTTAGCAGCCCAGCGAGTAACCACTATGCAACCAGGGCTCCTTAAGGATAGATTGACTTGGTATCGTGTATCCCCAACAGCAGATCTCACTAGACATAACCGTAAATGTACCCTTTGATGTTACAAAGGAGCTCTAGTCATGGAGAGCTAGCCCTGCTGCTCACTGCAAGGTCGGCAGTTTGAGTTCACCAGTTGTCTTGTGCACTGAAGACGGCCTTTGGTCCTGATGCTCCCCTGTAAGCTCTATGAGGGAATCCCCCTCGGTCCACATTGCTGGCGTCCACCGGCAAGCACAGCAGCACATCACGGGAGGAGAAGAGGCAGAGACAGGAACATGTGCCTCACTGCAAATTTTCTGCTCAAGTTTCTCTTTTCCTCCCTTCCTCTGTCTCCGTTTTCAAAGAGACCTTGCTAGAACAAAAGCAGAAACAATCCACAAGATGCAAGAGTCCTGGGAGGCAGACCTTGTGTCGTGCATTTACTTACTCGTTTCCACAACAAAAGAACAAGGGAAGCACACTTCTGAATAGTTTAAGAACTGGCCACAGTGGGTGATTCACAGAGCATTACATATGCCTTTGAGGATTCCTGACAGAACAACTCACAGGAGGAAGAGTCCTCTATGTAACAGACGAAGAAGTAGAAAAGATGCCAATTGAAGAGTCAGGAGTAAGTAAAGGCTCTGAAAATTTTCCTCCCTTGAGGGATTCACCAGTTATTCAGATAACTGGATAACGGAACAACGTCTCTACCTATGTTACTTGTGAAAAGTGAAATTTTTATGAAATATGAAGATATGAACAGAGTATCCCAGTAAAACTGCGTAGCTCCCTGGAAATGCATGCTGGGAGAGAGATACATCTCCTGGGAACATACGAACACTGTTCTGGGACATGGACCAAAAAAACGTGTGAGCTGGTTTAGCAAGTGGTTCCCAGCTTTGCTCTTGCCCCCCCACAGGGATGTCTCTCTATATCCTAAGACACCAGTATGACTTTCCAACGAAGGTATGCCTTCTTTTTAGGATCTTACAGCAGCACATATCTGGGACTCAGGTCCCTTCGGTCAGAATAGAGTCGATAACCCTTCCCTGCTGAAAGTCAGTCTTTAGAGCCGCTAACCCTTCCCTGCTGAAAGTCATGTACTTAGAGAAGGAGACTAAGTACATAGAGAGAGGGAGGCCGAGAGGGCGACGGCAGCAGGTGGGTACTGGCAGAGGGCTAGTCATGAAATACATCTTTCTGGCCCTGTGGGGAAAGTGAGCTAAATAATCTTGCTGAATTCAACAGTTAAGTGAAAAACTCGCTAACTAACTTAGGTTTGGTTTGGTTTTCCCTTCTTTTATTAGCTTATAGTTTGTGTGTTTCTTGTTCCAGGGAATTCTATTAAGTACTCCTGACTACAAACAACACAAATAAAAAAGAGGCATCTTAAAGTATACTATGTCATCTTTTAAATTGGAGGAGAACTAAAATATCTTTTAGTAGGAAAATTATACTTAATCACGCCCCCACCAAAAAAAACACAACAAAAACACAGAAGAAATGTGTATCTTTGAAAATCCTTTTGGTAAACGTAAATTCTCATTAGGCTTAGACTTAACCATAAAACATGAAAATAATTGTTCTGCTTAGCGTATTAGTAACAATATAACTGTAATGGAAAGGGTTTCCTTCCTTCTTAATTTTCGGAGCAAACCTGGGTGCTGTTGAAAGGTAACTAACTATTGTTTGGTGGAGAGGTATGTTCACGCAGATCACAGTGCTTTCCCTGGATTATTTCCCATTGGAGGGAACAGCCCGAAACGGAACGTAAAGGTATCTAGCCCAAAGGCTTTGCAGCCCTCCTTTCGAAATCTTCAGCATTGTCGATCTGCATTTGCTCGGTGACCATTTGCTAGTGCCGGATTTCATACAATTGTCACGTTTGCAGGAGGAATATGATTTGTCTCCAGGGAGAAGAGCAAAAACTACCCTAGCGGGCGAACACCCAAAGAAGGGGTGCTTTAAATTCTCGGGCACGTGGAAGAGCTGTTCCTATTGTAGAAAAGCAAGAGGGAGAGAACAACAAGCCCCAGGGGTCTTTTTTCTGCTCCTCCATGGGTGGGGCTCCCAGGCAGAGTGGGAGGCTTCTGCGAGAAAAGAGCCCTCAGAGCAGATTGGCCACGAGAATTCTCGGATCTTGTCCTTTGTACTTTGCTGCTTTGCCATTTTGTTTAAATGAAGGGTATCTTTAAAAACATCCCCAGAAGGGCACAGAATTTTGAGGGAGGGTTTATGAAACACTTTCCCGTGAGCCATCGTGCATGTGGCAACATTGGGTCCCAGGCAATAGGAATAACCAGCTCACATTTCTAGGTCCAAATGATTAAGCCATCGTGCACATGGGAACATTGTGTCCCAGGCAATAGGAATAACCAGCTCACATTTCTAGGTCCAAATGATTGCAATGGGTTTGTGGTCCCCACTCGTGCTTCATGCCCCAGGGTGCTCTTTTCCTCCTTGTCCATTGGCTGTGGATGGTCTTTGAACTTGGAACTCTCCAAATGTAATCTAGCTTTGGGACCTTTGCAAGTGGTGACCTTCTACCTGGATGCTCTTCCCCTAGAGATCTGCATGCCTTCTTTTCGGCCCTCAGAGGTTACCTTCTCAGGAAAGCTTCCCCGTTCTTCCTGTTTAAGTTCAAAACAAACCACACAGCACTACGCTTTTGAGCTTTGTCTTTTTTCCCTTCTCCATAGAATTCCTCACAGTGTTGCATTTTAGACATTTGCTTATTTATCTCTTTTATTTCTTCTCCCATTCCCAACTCTCTAAGGGCAGAGAGCCATACCTGCTTGTTCATTGAGATAGCCCTAGCACTTTAAATCAGGCCTGAAGCACACCTATAAGAATATAATAAATCTTTGTTGACTACATGACTTCTGTATTAATTCAGCTCTCCACACAGAGATTTCTGAGGAGAGTATTGCTACAACTGGTAATGAGGACACAAGGTTCGATTGCACTAACATAGTGATGGGGTGAATTAGCAGGACTCAGATCCAGGATACCTGACTGAAACTCATGCCCTTTCCTCTTTATCTCCACCTTAAGGCTACCTCTTTGGGGAACTGGAAGTTCAGAGTCTATCATAGTCTTATTTGAGGTGCATTTGCCCTACTTTTCTATTGTTCATCACACATAGCAATTCAAATTACTTATAATTAGTCACTGGAAGAGAAAGGCACTGAGATGAAATCATGAACTAATGCTTATTCAACACCACCTGGCTAGGCCTATGCTAACAAGGCAAAGCCCATAAATGAGGCTGTTATTCTAATAATTTAGGCAAAACCCACCAGTGTGCTTTAACTGTCAGAATAATTGCTTACAATCTTCATTGCATAAACGGGGGCTTCTCAGCCTTGGCATTGTTGACATTTTGGGTTGGAGGACCCTTTGTTGCGGGGACTGTCCTGTACTTTGATCGTGTGCAGCATCCCTCACCTCTAGGTTCCAGTACCTCTCCTCCAGGGCAACCACTAAGCCTGCCTCTAGGTATCGCTGAATGTCCCCCCAGGGGCAAAATCAGTTCTCGTTAAGGACAAATGTCGACCCCAGGTAGTTCTTAGACTCAATGTTGGGTACACAGTGGACATTTAATAAGTAGCTAAAAGTAAGGTTACTCGACTTTTTGTGTAAACTGGCAAAACAAAAGGGGAAGATTTCAAATAAAGAAAGCTCCCTTCTTTCTTGATCTGCACAGTGTAGGAAAAGCTAGGGCTTGCAGCTTATTGACCAGTTGGCTCCCAGAGCAATTTTGTCTAGTTAGATATGGTATATTGTAGAACGCACTAAAATGCCTAATACTTCATTGAAATAGATGCTTTCTTCTTTGATATTGAACAAAATAATGCAAACTTACTCATAGTTATTCTCAGTGCCTCCTTCTTTCTCACCCCCGACTTCCCATAGGTCTCTGCTTATTAAAGAAAGCACGTAGAGTTATGACTTTTCCCAACTCCTACTTCAGTGCTGAAATCCAGATCCTTGGCCTTTGTTCTAGTATGACTGCCTTTCTACCTCTTGGCTCCATGCCCTTCCCCACCTCGGTCCTCTTTCCACTCTGAAGCCACGAGGCTCTTTCTAAGACACCAATTTGACTTTCTGTTGACTTCAGGAGCCTTCATTCACAGGTGTTTTAGGGTGGAGGAGGAATAAGCAATTATGGAATCAACTACTTTTGGGTAGCGCTGCATTAAATAAAATTTAGTATGTTTTTGTACTAGTCCTTTGCAGAGCCTGTATACACTATAAAACAGAGTATATGATTTATCATATTTATTAGAACCAGAGTTTTTCCTGAAAACAACAAACCTTTAGGCTAATGAGACATATTTGGGGAAAATAGTGACTTGAAGAATTACGATCCATTTAAACTTAGCCTGACTAGGGCATGTATTATGCTAAACATCAGAGAGAGGGAGGGAGGGGGAGAGAGAGAGAGAGAGAGAGAGAATGAGAATATATCACTTTGATGAGCTTATATTCTTACAGGAGAAAGTAGTAAATACATTTAAAAATTTTATTTACTTATATAACCTACTCTTATAATTTAAAACTTTTAAAATGTCTTTACTTATAAGCCATTCTTATAACCCACTGCCGAGGAGTGGTCCTATGGCACAGAAAAGAACTGTCCTGTACTGTTACCAAGACTGAATCTTTACAGAGCTAGACTGCCTTCTCCTTTTGTAGCACAGCCTCTGGTAAGTGTTGGGTTCCTATTAGAACAATGGGAAGAGCGATTGGAGCACAAAGGAAGTGCTGCCTGCGTTTGGTATTTCAGAGCAAGCTGGAGTTTTCCATTTTGTGGTGGGACCAAAGTGGGCTGGGAGAAGAAGCTGAGTATTGTAGGTGTAGGGAAGCACAAATACAAACACTTGGGAACAAGCAAACCCAGACATAAATTAGATAACTCAGAGGAGAAAGTGGAGAGGGGTTTGACTGAAGGACGGTTGGGGCCTGAATTGCTAAATACCTGACAGTGGGGAGAGGGGAGCCCTTGAGCTGTAGCCCTAAGGGCTGCACAGAGCCAAAAAATCTATGAGAGGGCTTCAAAATGTTTGTGAGCAAAGCCAATAAAACGAGAACGGACTTCACACTTTTTGAAGTCTCCTTGGATAAAGCATTGTGATTTGGAAAGACGACCTTTGTCAACAAAGAGCTGGAAGCTTGAGAAGGCCCGGTCTAAACGTGAACTAAGCCATAGCTCAGGCGGATGGTGAGAACAGAACCAATTCGGAAGTCTGAAGTGGAACGGACAGAATTCACTCACCAGTGCAATGTTGGAATTGGAAAAGGTAGTAGAAAACAGATCAGAGATTTCTCATTTAGGTAACTAAGCAACCTGAGGCAGCTGCTCCTCGGGAGAAAGATGACGTTGTCTTCTATAAAGATGTAGAGTGTGGGAAACCCAATGGGACAGCTCTACCCTGGCCTGTAAGTCACTACAAATCAGACTCGACTCTATAGTTGTGAGTTTGGGTTTGGGTTTGAGTTCTTCTATGAATCCACGGGATTCCTTTAAGAAGCACTTGTATAATTAAAGGTGGTAATTTATTCTACTAAAGAATTTCAGGCTAGTAATGAAAGTATTTTTGAGTGATGTGTGAGTTTTTTACACCATCCCATAGAGATGGTTCTCTATTAAATTAATACCTAGAATGTTTAAGGAATGGAATAAAATGCGCTCCATTGTCTGAGTGCACCACACCCTGTAGTGCAAGCAAAGTGGAACTTGAAGAGAAATGTTAATGATTTTATGTAAATGTTTATCGTAACATTTGAATCTTTCAAAGATTTACTTTACGGAATTTCATATAAATGGATGATATGAAAGTACTTATCTGAAATATTTCACTGTAAAAAAGATTTCATTTATTTCCACACATTTGAATTCCATTCTGTTAGATATTTAACATTTGATATGCTTAAAGAAGGACCAAATGGCTTGAAGTAACAACTTTCCCCAACTTCACAACAGCTCTTCATCTGGTCACTGAGCTGAGAATTGGGCAGAATCCTGCAGATTCCCTTCAATACTGGGTTTCATCCCCTCCGTTTGTGCAGGCCGCTCTCTGAGAAAACCCGCCAAGGGAAGCAAACCAAGCACAAACTGCTGCACATTGACTTGCAAATGTACCAATTCAGACCAAAAAAAGTGAACTAGGAAATTTCTTGGAAGGGTAATTATGATCATTTATAATGGGCAGCTCTGCAATCTTTCCAGTATTTCTCTCCACTTGCCAGTGACCTCACTGTCCATGCCTGATACGTTTTGCCACTTCTCTGAAAATTCATTTTCAAAATCTGCACAACTTCTGAACCATGGAGGGGTAATCTCCATGATCTGTAATTAGGAAACTGAATAATACATACTCTGTAGTTAGTACAAATTAAAACTAAGTCTTGGAAAATAATTTGATTGCAAATATGTACATGTATACACACACATACCTTTACAATCAATTTTTTTTATCATAAGCCCAACCAAAAAAAACACCAAAAACCCAAAACACACCAAAAACCAAACTCACTGCCATAGCCTCAATCCCAACTCTTCGTGACACTATATGACTGGGTAGAACGCCTCGGCAGATTTCCTCTTTTTCCTGTAGAACAGCTGGTGGATTTTAACTGTTGACTTTGTGGTTAGAAGCTCAATGTATCCCTTCACTCACTTTTTTGTTGTCCATCCCCCTGGGAGGGGGTTATAGGTGGATCATTGTAATCAGCTCTCCCTCTCTTCCCCACTTACCCTCCTGGAGACATCAGTCAGTGTAAGACATGAAAAAATAATAATAATTTATAAATTATCAACAGTTCGTGGGGGGGGGGATGAGAAGCTGATTCCCAGGGCTCAAGTATAAAGAAAATGTTTTTGAAAATGACGATGGCAACAAATGTGCTTGACACAATGGGTGGATGTATGGATTGTAATGAGTTGTACAAGCCCTCAATAAAATGATTTTTTTAATTTTAAAAAGAAACTCAAGGTATAACTACTCTATTTACCACCAGAGATTTTCTTAAATTCAAAGACCTGATAAAAGCAGTGAAGTATCAAATCAAGGCCATTTTCCATTTTCATATATATTGACCCATTAGGATAGAGTAGAATTGTCCTACAGGGTTGCTAAGGCTATAAATCGTTATGGAAGCAGACTGCCACATCTTTCATCAATGGGGCAGCTGAAGAGTTTGAACTACCATCCTAAATTAGCATCTGAACTCTGTAACCACTATGACACTAGACTTCTATACAAGTGGAAATGAAACCTGTCTAATTCGATGAAAATGTAGATCAATTCAGCATGTAATAGTCTCATAAAAAATTAAGTTAAAAATGTGACTTATAAGTTGATTTGCTATAAGAAACAACAACTCACTGCTGTTGAGTTCATTTATCTCCTAGCCCCCCGATAGAGTGAACTAGGACTTCCCCACAGTGGTCCCCAGGCTATATACCTCTCTGAAAGCTGACTGCCAAGTCGTTCTTCCGCAGAGCAGCTGATAGATTTGAGCCAATGACCTTTTAGCTAGCAGAGCACTTTAACCCCTGTGCCACTGGTGCTTCCTTAATTAACTATTCAGGGAAGAAGCTAAATGTTCAGGAAAAGGAACAAACTTAATTTAAAGCCACCACTTTGAAGCCCAGATTATCTAAATTGACTGTTTCCATTGACAGATTAGATTATGTTACAACATTAACATTTCGTGAGAAACCTTATAAGTGAACACTTTAGAGAATGATGATTGCTGAACTGAATAACAGGCATAGAAAATATAAAACAACTCACCCAGCCCCATATGGCTATTCTTTTTTCATCAATGAAACCCATTTCTATGAATTTTCTAAAGTAAAAGAAACACATTTAAAAAATTTTTAAGTGTGTACACATGACATTTACTTCATTACACAAGCATATTTAATCCAAATTTTAATAGAAACGCTACATTTTCTTTGTTTAAACACATGCATAATAAGGCCGCATTTACACATGATTAAAAGAGTAGTACTCTGTTTTCTGCAACAGAGAAAACGACCCTTTTAGACTTTGTTGTGATTAGGGGCCATTGAGTTGGTGCCAGTCCGTAGCGACCCTGTGCAACACAGAATGAAACACTGCACAGTCTTGGGCGGTCCTTGCGATTGTTCCTGTGCCTGAGCCCATTGTTGCAGCTATGGTGGCAATCCTCATGGAAGCAGTAGGCAAGAGATCAAAAGACTAGTTGCATTAGGTAAAGCCGCAGCACAAAAATTCTTTAAAGGGTTGAAAAGCAAGGATGTTACTTTGCGGGATAAGGTGCGCCTGACCCAAGCCATACTATTTTCCATTGCCTCATTTACATGTGAAAGTTGGACATTGACAAGAGAAGACTCAAGAAGAATCAATGGATTTGAATTATGGTGCTGGAGAAGCATATTGAAAGTACCATGGACTGCTAGAAGGACAGACCGATCTGTCTTGGAAGAAGTACAACCAGAATGCTTGTTAGAGGCCAGGATGGCCAGACTGTCTTACAGACTTTGGACATGTCAGGAGAGACCAGTCCCTGGAGAAGGACATCATGCTTGGTAAAGTAAAGTGGAGGGGCAGTGAAAAAGAGGAAGGCTTTCTTAGACTTTAGTGTACATTTATTGAGTAGGACTTTCAGGGTGGTCAGATCTACCCACCCATTGCCATTGAGTCAATCTGACATATGGCCAGTCTCTCGGACAGAGTAGAACTGCTCCACAGGGTTCCCAAGGCTGTAAATCTCCACAAGAGCAGACTGCCACATCTTCATCCTAAAGATCAGCTAGGGAATTCCAATTGCTAACCTACAATCAATTACTTAACCTACTGAGCCTCCGGGGCTGCTTGTAAGGCCTGGTATTCTAATTTACAGGTGAGTGTGTTATATGTGATACAGAGAGGCCAGAAGAATGGCTCATAATGACATGAAAATGATTCACAGAATGAGTAGATATGAATTTTCACATTCCAGCTTTTGGAAAGATGATTTTGTTATAGCGGTTTTCAATTTTATTAAGATCTTATTACTTTGTTTGCTTAAGTATTAATGATAATATTTTGAGTTATAAAACAACCAAACAAATAATCCGCTGCCATTTTTAGTCAGTTGTGACTCATGGAGACTCCACAGGACAGACTCATTATGGCAGCAGACTGCCATACATTTTTCCACCGAGCAACCAGGGGGTTGGAACTGGCAATCTTTTGGTTAGCAGTCAAGTGCTTAACCACTAAGCCACCAAGGCTCCGTCTTCTTTTCTTTTTAGTTCATAAACCAAAACCAAACCAAACCTATGGCCAATGAGTTGACTTTGACTCATGGTGACCCAAAGCTGTCAATGATTTTTTTTTCAGACTGTAAATCTTTCTGGAAGCAGATAACCCCAACATTCTCCCACCAAGTGGCTGGAAGATTTGAACCACTAAGCTTGCAGTTATCAATCCAATGATTACCAAAGAGCACCCCCAGGGTTCTGTACTAGTCATTTGAGATAGGTCTCCATTCCTTTCTGATTTTTCACTTCTCAGACTCATTGCCATCAAGTCAATTCTGACTCACAGCAACCCTAAAGGTGAGAGTAGCACCTGGCTCCCCAAGACTGTGACTCTAAAAGAGAGGCAAATCATGTCTTTCTCTTGATGCGAAGCTGGGACTTTTAAACCGTTGATCCTGTGGCTAGCAGCCCAACATGTAACCCACTTCAATGCAGTATGTGAGGTTGAGACTTAATGTCACTCTGAACCTAACAGTTAGGTCTAGCCAAATGACATCACCTTAGGAATGTGGAGAACTTTTCACCCTCTCTGGACCCAGTCCTTTCGACACGATTAGATCCTGTGCCTCCCATCTGGGGCCAATGGCCCACGTGACCCGCTGACTCTAGGAACGTTCAGTACCCTGAAGCCGCAGGCTCCTGTACCCACTAGCCTGTGATCACCCAGCTTCTCACTTCTGCTTCCTGCTGGAGAGTTGACAGCCGGCATCTGAAGTATGGACTGTGCTGGGTCCATTCCATGTTATAAAATTCTTTCTTGATATAAAGTACTTTCTTCTACATATATGAGTGCCACTGGTTTTGTTTCTCTGGAAACCCAGTCTAACACACAATAGTCATGGAAATTATATGGATGTTTTGTACTGCATTTTGTAAATGAACTTGCCATGATACACACACACATATATGGCAAGGATTCGTTTCTACTCTATTATAGATAGCACCCCTTTATAAACTCTCAAGGCACTGCCATGACGTGATTCAAATTTACAGTGATGCTATGGGGCAGAAGCGAACTGCTTGTGTGGGCTCTGAGGAAATCGTCAAGGAGCAGACTGCCTCACCTTTCTCCAGAGAGGATGCAAACAGCTGACCCCGAGGGCAGCAGCCCAGCTCTGAATCCATCCGGCCACCGGGGCTCCTTATTGTAATTCTGTTTTTCAGCCACTATGGGAAGCTCCCTCATATGTCTTTCCTGAAGAGCCATGGTCCTTGCAGAAAGGCAATTTTTTAAAAGTCATGGGAAACCCTTAGGAAACACAACTTTGCCACGCTGGTACGAAACAAGAGTTTCAGGCTAACTTACACCAGGCCCCCCTGAGGGCTGGTGTTGTGCCGTAGTGCAGTTATGATGTGTTTGGGGCATGATTTGATAAAAACCAAGAAATTCCCAGAGAAACATAAACAGTGGTAGAAATATGCAAACTAGATGAACCCTGGCAGAGGCCACAGCAATGGGAGGGAGACCAAAGTGGTTAGACACAGGACCCCAAACATCAAATACTCAGTTTTAAATTCCCCTGGAGCTCCCGTGCATGTCCTTTCTCACCCTCTTCTGTCATTAGGACTGAGCGGTTCACAGGAGTTGGAGAGCGGAGTTTCTTAAAAGGATTTCACAGGAACCATTTTGCTTGTTGCATGGATTCAACTTGCACGTGTCAGATGCATGGCGGAGTTGGGCACATGCCCGGGACAAACAGATGGGAAGAGGCCCGGTTAATCACAGCTTACCCGACACTGATTTGGAGGGACACTGAGAAGTCTACACGGAAGAAATGCAGCAGCAGAGTTGCTACCTGGGTGGATGGTGCTCAGGGTAACCCGAGAAAAGGTGGAGCACCTTTGTGCCCCTTCAGCCATCTCTCTGAGAGAGAGAGAGAGAGAGAGAGAGAGAAACAGGCTCATGCTCCTTTTTTGGGGAAAAAAAATCTTGTCACTAATGCTTGAAGACAGCGGCTGGGTCGTAAAATCCGGCCAGGTTTTATGATCTCCCAGAAGCCAGCCATCTCACTGCCTCGCATGCGGAGTACAAAGCGAGTGACAGGTGAGCCATGGGAACAGGAAATTCTTAACAGCTCCTTTCCTAGGTTGATTCGGGAAGGATGACATTTACAGGAAATTCGAGGGCAATAGTGAACGTGGAAATGAAACATTAACACTTAATGTGGCAGCACCAGGTTGAAGGTTAGCTAGATAATCTGAGCACTTTGAGGCCAACAAGGCTCCATAAATTTAACCTTCGAATTCTGTGGAGCTCTCAGGAGGGCATTAAGAGTGGCCATGGGGTGCTTAAGTAAACAAAATGTTAGTAACAAGCAGAGTGGACGCCTGACTAATTTTGGAGGCGGGGTCTCACAATGTGTTATCCAAGAGAAACTGACACAGGTCAAGTTCCCGTTGGAAACCTAGCGGTGAATCATTATCCTATTTTAGATATGATTTTATCAATATGGTCTCAAACAATATAGTATGATATTTCCTCATGAATTCTCCATCACTAACCTTCATGTGATGTAAAATTTCAAAAAGTTTTGGAAATGTAAAAATATGTTCATTCAATCCAAACCAAACCTACTGCCACTGAATTTATTCCAATTTGTCAAGACCCTAATAAAGGGTTTCCAAGACTGAATCTTTACAGGGTGAGACAGTTCCATCTTTCTCCCACAGAGCCGCTGGGGGGTTTGAACTGATGACCTTGCAGTTAGCAGCCTAATTCCTAACCCACAGTGCCACCTATATGTCTTAGGTATCTCCATATGAGCACATTTGGACCTAACCCCCCAACCCTCGAAGTCTTGTGGGACATATATATATGTACAGTTTGCAGAGGAACCTAAAGATAGTAAGTCCTAGTTTCAGACTTTTGATCACACTGTGTTTCCTTTGAAGCATCACTTTTGTGTAGACAAAAGTTGTGAAGTTGAATGCTGTGTTTGAATTTATTTATTAGCGCTGGGTATAATTGCAGTTGTTTCCAAACACACACACACATACACACACACACACACATTTTCTACATACCGAAGGAAAATCCTAACTATTTCCTTTGGGATGTAAAAAATTTAGCAGCTAGTGTTTTAAAAGAAATTTGAGGGGGCACATTTCATTCCTTGAGGGAAAAATTGAGGATTATCACAGGCTAGGGTCGGTATTTGGTGTCTGATCCCTAAAACCCCTTCTTTGGGAGCCATTTGGTTGAGTCCTTCCCAGGATTATCATGATAAATCTGTTGAGTTGAGTTTGTTTTCTCAGAGCATCAGGTTCCTAGGTTTCCCTTTCCCTTTTGCCAACTAATGTGTCAAGCAAAGCCAAGGGCAGATTCAATGCCATCTCGTTTGTTGCACATGTGCCTCACAAGAGCCGAGCCGCACAACCACTCTGTTTATTAGGACCTCCTTGCAGAAGGTGTCACCTAGTAGCAACCCTGTCCTTTTCCCAGACTGTAAATGCACGGGAAGCACAGATTGTATATGGAATGCACTGCAACAGCGTACATTAATTTGATCTGTTCTCGAGTGGCTGGGTATAGGAGCAAATGTATTCCTCCTGTCCAACAGCAGAGAGATTTTCTTTAAATTTCATGGTAGAAGTAGCCCAGAGAACGTAAAATTAGTCAATTCCCACCTCTGGCTCAATTTCAATTCCAAATGCCAAACTGAAAATCTGTAGAATTTGTGATTTTATGTCCTATATGTTGAATATCAAAAATTATGATTTTCATGAAGGTTTAAAATTTCATTCCATCTGAGGAATGCTTTAAAAAGATCCCTATTCTGTTTCTGGAGCTATTCTTCTTAAAATTTAATACTGAATTTGTGGTGTTCAGTAAATGCCCAAGAATATAAGGGCATTTATTGGTGGTTGAGGATTTAAATGATGATGATGATACCCTTTTCTTTTGACCAATAGCTCTACCAACTTTGGAATATATCTTATTGATTTACAAATGTGTTTTCATGATGTCTAAGGTTTACATGTCTTTTTGGTAGTTGGTATAAATTGCATGTTACAAATACACCAATGCAAAATAAATAAAACTTAAGGGAATAAGCTACAGTTCTAACCACTGTGCTAATATTCTCATTAAGGCACACTGTGATCTTTATAGGATAAACTGATCTCTCAGTGAAGTAAAATTTGAGCTATCTCTTCTCTATCGCTGTCAGACAGAAGGCTCCCCCAAACAAATTAATAGCTAATAGGCCAAAAACTTGGATCGACAAGAACGATGGAGTCTCCTAAAAATTAGGTGTGAATGATGGAGACAGATTGTAGAATTATTTAATAATATATTTACCAATTTGTCAGATTCTCCTTAAACAGTCTTTGTTTTTAATTGCATATTTTGTGTGTAAGTATATGTGTATATGACTGTTCACAGAATGGAAGAATAATTTGCAAATATATGTTACAATTGCTTTTCTATTTTTAAAAATAATTACTTGTGAGTCTAAACTCTTCTGCTTTGATGAGAGACAAAAATACAGAAAAGTGTTATCCAGGCCTGGCTCCTAGTTGTTCAACTCAACCTGTTTTGTGTGTGTTGCATTGAGATCAGTAACTGTTAATGAAATTGGGGCGTTAACAGAGCTGTACTAATACATTTTCTAAGTTTCTCTCCAGTGAAACAGTATTTGATCAGCTACTAGGCTGCTCAAATTCATACATATATATGCAAATATATCTGTACATATATGTATCCACAATGATTGAGAATGCTATTATATTATCCTGTGCCACTTTTATTTATTTAGATACTACTATTCTATAACTTCATCTACTCACTCTGTAAGGACAGAAACAGAAGCCACAGACAAACATCCAGAAGCAACCTGTACAATATTTCCAAATAAACAATAATTTTGGTGACAATTTCCTTTTTTATTTCAGGATGTTGAGTGAGTTGAAACAATATGCTTATGAAAAACTAAATAAATTACAATTGAGAGTGTAGGGAAGAAAGGAAGAAAGCACTCAGATTATGACTATGTTTTTCCCTAGATGTTTTCATAATATGATCTCCAGTCTGTTAAATGAATATTTTGTAGTCAATTTAAAACAAGCTAGTACTATTTCATGCTAACATAGACTTGATCATAGTTTAAATACATATAAATGCCTAACACCTATAATCCTCAAATCTTGAGCCATTTTTGAGTTTAAGATGTAGAATCCACATTGCTTGAACAGATTCAGAGGTTGTAGTTTCTTTAATATAAGCTGTAGTGCTGTATACATTGTTCTACCTCTTCTGCCAATTGTGAACCATGGTAATAACTGAAAGAGTATTAAAATGACTTCATATATCCAAAGAGGCTGTCATTTATCACTATAACTCATTATTTTATAATATTATCGGTTCTCTCCCATGAACACATTTTTTTTTCAGATTGGGCAGAAATATACCATAAGAGCACACCAGCCTGTGTGATCATGAGGTGATTATAGGATCAGGTATCAGGCATCAAAGGACAAAAAAATCACATCATTGTGAATGAGGGGGAGTGTAGAGTGGAGACCCAAAGCCCATCTGTAGGCAACTGGACATCCCCTTACAGAAGAGTTATGAGGAGGAGACAAGCCAGTCAGGCTGCAGTATAGCAATGATAAAACATACAACTTTCCTCTAGTTTTATTTTTTTCAGCTTATACATTTTTGTTTAATGCTTTTCACAAATGTTTAAATCAAATTTCTCTAGTTCTTGAATGCTACCCTCCCGCCCCCCCCGCCCCCCCCACTATCATGACCCCAATTATGCCTTACAAATCTGGCTAGACCAGAGCATGAACACTGGTACAGATAAGAGCTGGAAACACAGGGACTCCAAGACAGATAAATCCCTCAGGACCAATAATGAGAGCTGCGATACCAGAAGGGTAAGGGGAAGGTGGGGGAGAAAAGGGGAACCGATCACAAGGTTCTACTTATAATCCTCTCTCTGGGAACAGAAAAGTGGGTAAAGGGAGACATCGGACAGTGTAAGACATGAAAAAATAATAATAATTTCTAAATTATCAAGGGTTTGTGAGGGAGGAAAGGAAAAAATGAGGAGCTGATACCAAGGGCTCAAGTAGAAAGCAAATGTTTTGAGAATGATGATGGCAACAAATGTACAAATGTGCTTGACACAATGGATG